AGAACTATCGATAATAGAGAACTCTTTCTCGTGATGTGAGCTAATCAACCGCATGCAGACGTTCAACTGGGCGACCACTGGAAAACAGGCGGGCAACTCCAAACACCAAGATAGACGCCCACCACACTACCATCCTCCGCCGAGAAATAGCACACCATTTTACCATTGACGAGCTCCGTGATGAGCCTGCCATGCGTCACCCAGCTGAACGTGGCCCCAGGCGTGATCGGCTCGTGCTGAACGGACATGCCAGGATTGCCCTTCTTCTGCCTCTTTTGGCTGGCACGAAGTCAGACTTCAAGTATGTGAAAGGAGCTAGATCAGAAGCGTACCGTGAACGGCCCATACCAGATGGTTTCTCTTTTCGCTTGGGGCAGAAGCAGAAAGTCTCAGATTCTTTTGCTTGTCGTACATACGCGTCGTCTCAGCTCAAGAAGGTCCTGTCAGTAACTTGAAGAGATGTTCAGGAATAACGAAACTCGGCCTTTGACAAAGAGTCCGCCATGTACTTCGAGTTTGCTCCTCGTGTAGTAGTGTTTGTATAGTCACGACGAAATTGTGAATACTAGCGAACCTTGTTCACTGGTATTCTGTCTCGAGGCGTACATATCAAGTGCTTTGGGGCATGGCTGGCTACTGCAAAGCTTCCTCTGAAAATAGATGCAGGTATAATTCTGGCTGAGTACGGCACTTGAAGAGTGCTGGTTCTGCGCGATTGATCGTGCAAAAATTTGTTTAGTGTACTGTACATAGTGAACCTCGTTGTGATGTGTTGCTACAGGCCAAGCAGGCCAATCAGCGGCACTTGTGGCTAAGACAATGCGCCGCTTCACACGCTGACTTCCTTATCCACATCGACGGCCATGGAAGTAGACACGGTCCGAGGCTCCACTTGGAATGACAGATTCTAGAACGTTACAGAAACGCTCCCAACGATATCCATCGGCGCTTTCTCGTCGAAATTGGCTCCAGGGTCCATCACTTTGCTGTGCTGGTCTGAGCGCAGTTGCCCCACTATCCGAGGAAATAGATCCTCCTCTTTCTGGCCCGTGGCTACAAACTGACCTGTCAAAGTGGCTTGAGAGCGAGTATTGAATGTGGCGTGTTCTAGACCCTTCCAACTATGTACCCCGTCATGAGCAAGGATACTCCAGAAATGACATGTGCGTTTTGGACGTACGGACACACCAAATCAACCGATAGGACGGGAGTTGCACCTCAGCGGCACATACGACCATCGCAACTACCTACAAGCCCTGGTGAAGCGTTCCTTGACGAAACGCCCCAGTGACGATATTGTCATGAATGCTCAGCACGAGGAACCCAAAACGACCTTTTGTCGTAGCATACTACATGATGGCTACTCCTCCGCCGAGTATCACGCGAAAGCAGGAGACCGACAAGCTTAAATGACGCAGTCGATGCCGTGATCCTGCTACCGTATTGGACTACATCTTCACGTTCATCCGGCCTCATTACCGCTCGAGAATCTGCGACCATTAGATCATCGGCCACACGAAGTTTTCCCTTTCAGATTTCCTATTGCAATGGAGGGACAGAAGGCAAACACGCTCGAAGCAGACGTCATCATCATTGGCGCAGGTTTCAGTGGTTGTTACGCTTTATTCAAAATTCGGGAGGCAGGATTCTCTGCCAAGATTCTTGAACGCGGAGATGACTTCGGCGGCGTCTGGCATTTCAATCGGTATCCCGGTGCCAGGGTTGATTCCGACACGCCCGCCTACCAGTTCAGCTTGCCCAGAGTCTGGGCTGATTTCCACTTCACGGAACGGTTTCCTGGTTGCGAGGAAATCCGCAAGTACTTTCGACACGTCGATGCAACGCTGGGTCTGCGTCAGGACACCATTTTCGACGCTCAAGCAGACGAGGCGAAGTACGACACCGAGGCCGGGCGCTGGCAGTTCAGGACGACCAAGGGGCTACGTGCGACGTCCAAGTATGCGATATTCGCATGCGGCTCGATGAACAAGCCGTACATGCCACCTTTCCCAAACCAAGACCTGTTCGATGGGCCTATCATACACCCGTCGGCTTGGCCCGACAATCTCTCGCTGACGGGCAAGAAGATCGGCATCGTCGGTCAGGGCGCGTCCGGTCTGCAAATCGTGCAGGAGCTTGCACCACTCGACTGCGAGCTGACGGTTTTCGTCCGAAACCCTTGTATCGCGGTTCCGATGCATCAGAGACAGCTGTCGTATCGAGAGTCAGAGGAGATGAAACACTATTACGATGCCATATTCGCAAAGGCCAAGTTCGGCTCGTCTTCGGCCCTCCCGTACAATCAGAATTCTGACTCGCTACTCCGCGCGACCGAGACCGAACGAAACGACCTGTTCGAGCGATTGTGGAACAGAGGTGGCCTCGGCCTCACGCAGTCAAACTATCGCGATATTGTCCTTGACGAAAAGGCCAACGCATGCTTGTACGATTTCTGGGTTCGAAAAACGCGAAGCCGGATGACGGACCCCAAAAAAATGGACATCGTCGCGCCTTTGCAGCAGTTTGAATGGTTCGGATCAACACGTGTCAATCTTGAGTCGAACTACTACGAGGCGCTGGATCAACCGAATGTTAGAGTGGTGAACCTCAAGGAGACGCCGATCCAGTCCTTTGACAGGCATGGGATTCTCGCCGGTAGCTCTGATGTTACTACACACCACGACTTGGACGTCATCATCATGGCCACCGGCTACGACGGCGTGACAGGTAGCCTGCTGGACATGAACATCCATGACAAGAATGGCGTCCGGCTGGAGGATGCTTGGGAAAGCGGCATCAGCACGTACCTTGGCATGATGATCCCCGGTATGCCCAATGCATTTATGCTGTATGGGCCGCAAGGGCCGACGACGCAGACCAACGCGCCGCCTTTCATTGAGCTCCAGGTTGACTGGGTGGTAAGGCTCCTAAAGCGGATGAGCCAGGATCATGTGTATTCCATCGAGCCCTCGGAGGAGTCTTGTGAATTTTGGAAAGGTCTCGTAGCAAAGGCCTTCGAGTCAACCCTTTTTCGTGATAGCACCGCGTGGTGGACCGGCGCGAACGTCCCGCGCAAGAGAGTCGAGCCACTGGTCTATCTGGGTGGGGTCCAGCCATGGAGACAGTTGTGTGACCGGTCTCTTCGTGACTGGACGGACTTCATCGTGTCGTAGGAGCAGAATAGCTTCGATTATCGTAGCCTGGCTGACGGGAACTTTCATTTATCTACTCTGAATGCCTATCAATGTGTCAAACTCTATCGTCAACACTGTAAAAAACTGTGACTTCCTGCGGTGAATTCAGAGACGCGGTGACCTGGAGACGAGCTGTGACTAATGGCATCGCATTCTGGTCTATGTCGACTACGAGTTATTCGTGCACTTTGGTACAAAGATAAAGCTCATCCATCTCAATTCGTTTATTTGGCAGTATGCGTGCGAAACCGAACGGTGATTGAACCTCAATGGATAAGGGGATACCGATGTTTTCCCATTCATCGGCACGCGACCACATCTTACACCACGCGAGATGCCTCGTCCGCCCGTTCATTGCTGTTAGTAGTAGCGTCTCTCACGTGATTTCCAAGAGTTTTGAACAGGCAAACGAAGACTAGACTGCTGTATAGCTGGGAGACGATGTAGACATGCCGCTGTCTTAAACAAAGCTGCTGGCCGTGCCTCTAGGGGTAAGTCCCGCAGGCGGCGGTTTTTGCAGTTCCCACCAGGGAGGTTCGTCCTGAATGTGGACCTGGCCTTCATCAAGTTCGCCAGTGCCGGCCCTTTTAAATCTCAAGGCACCTATGACTTTCTTGAAAGAGACAAATGTGCTAAACGTTAGAAATATTTTTGGATAAGGGTGGCCATAACTTCAATGCACATATGAACGTCAGCCGAACAGCGATCTCTTTGAAAAAAGCCTTGATTTTGTCGACCAAGGTGACAGTATTTGGACTCTTCGAGCGGAGACTCGTCATTGTGGGTGCAACTTTCGTAGGCGTGGTGGTTAACAAATATGTCGGAAGAAGTACGTCTGCGACGGGCTGATAGACGCTGGGATGGTTCAAGGAAGATTCCGAAATCACAACCAGATCAAAGGCCAGCAACCTGAGCGACGGCTGTGTTTTTATACTGTTCAAGTCTTGGCAGACTTTCGTGAAAGCCAGACAGCTCAGCCGAGTTAAAGTGACACCCGAAGGCTGTCATTGATCGGTAGACCAATCATCAGAGAGACCCGCGTGGCGTTTCCAGGACCTATTCGATGGCTCCTTGATTACGCTCTGTGCTTCGAATCGAGGGAGCGATGGATCGCCGCGGGAACCTTGAAGAATGCATGCCCCGGGTACTAAGAACCGCAAGGGCGCACGCTGAACACCTGAACCAACAGCAATCTGCCACATTATGCTTGAGAGAACGGACTTACCAAAAAACAGTTCTTTCAATGGTAAAAGCGGTCCTTTGACGGCGAGATCCGACCGAGTCTTGCTGACTCTTCAGCTTGGAGAAACACCATACACATGATTCGTCGGGGATCACCAAGCTGAGCCGTACGCAAACAGAAACCACTGGCCCGCTTGCTGGTGTCTATTATATCCGTAACCTTGCTCGAATGAATGCGAGCGATACATTTGTTTCATGGTACTGTAGCCCTAACTTATGAGGTACCGTATGGATGTGCGTCGCATAAATTTATGCCATAATGAGGATGAGCTCCAGGCGACATTCTCCTTTCATGAGGACCAGACAGTGTGGAGGTTTCCCTGAAACTCATTCTGCTGAAATGCACTTCTGGCTTCCCCCTACTTTCCTTCTCTTAGGCCATGATACGTCAGTTTGCATTCACTTACAATACTGTACTGCAGTCAGTTTTGGGAGAGGGTCGAGTAGAAGCCGGGTCTGCCTCTTTAAGCAAGAGCTTGTTGTGGCTGCGTATGGCGGACACCCCTCATCGCCAGCTTTGTGCCCACTAACGATCATATCAAAACGGTCGATTCGATGTTTGCCGAACTATTTAGTTGCTCCGATGACATTGCTTTCCTTGTAATAACGTCGTTGAGACAGTCCAGGTGATGAATCAAGGAACAGTACCGAAAACAACCAAGATCAACATGGAAGTACCCCAGCCACCAGTACACGGCAGACCCGACAACCTTACCGCAAGGCTCGTCGCGATCATCATCCACGAAATGACAGCATGCATCTCGCGTTGGCGCGATTATGCCGCCTCCAAAGATGCGCAGCTTCAGCAACTTCACAAAAACTCCCAACATCTCGAAGCACGCATCGAAACGCAGCGTCACACCATCAACGCGCAAGCCGAGCGCATTAGTCGTCTGGAGTTCGAAATGTCTCCTATGGAACTCTCATGCAATACTGTGTCGCCAGCGGCGTTTTCAATGTCGCTGCAGGAGTCTAGACGCAAGATGTCGGGTTCTATCATAGACCTGCAGTCAAGCTTCACAGGCGGCACGTTCGAGAATGCTTTGCAGGAGACATACGGTCAAGCACACGGCGGCGATGGTGCGAGCCTAGAGGGCGACGCTTTAGCTCCATTGATGGCGTTGGCAATGACCGCGGTAGGGGACGCAGCTGAACCGCGGTTTGGAGCAGAGGAGGTGACGCAGAGCGAGAGCCTAAACCCGAAGAAGAGGCACCTGGAAGAGTACGATGCTTTTCGAAGCGAGTCCGGCAAAGTTGATGAAGGCAAATGGATTGGAAAGTCTGCCTGCAATAGATTGTTGCTGTAACTTGTTGCACCTTGGATGTAGCGATCTGCGTGAAGCTATTATTCCATCTTTCATATCACATAGTGAGGTCCATTAAGAACGCTACCATTTCGCTGAGTGGTCTAAGTCTCGTCACGAAGACGAATCTCACGTAACATATTCCAACGATCTCTAATGATCACAGCAGATATTCTTATGTTGATTTACGTGATCTCGCGACAGCAACCCATTCCCGCAATCACATCTCCTCGCCGTCATCTTCATGCCCCCCTCTGTTCCCAAGCTGTAGACTATCAGATCATCCCAGTACTTCTTCACAAGGCTGTGGGCATTCTCTAGATTGGCCGCCGGCTCCGTAGTCACTTGCCACTTGATTTTGTAGAAAGTCATGCTGTCGACCTCCTTTCGCCCGGTGACCTCCCCCGACCAGTGCTCCAAAGTGGGGTCGTATCGACGTAACGGTAATCTTCTGGAACTGGAATAGCCATGGAGTTCGTTCCAATCGACTAAAACTGGTAACATGTGCTGGAGTCGGTCTTCTGGTTCCCAGGTTGGTTTCCAAGCCACGTGGTAGTAAATTGCGCCATCGAAATCGCTGTGTCCCTGAATTCTCTTCACTTGCCATTCATCCGTACTTGCTGTGTATCCGCTGTTGTGGTCGACTGTCGTTGATCTCATCTTTCGTTGGGCTGCTAGTCGGAGACTGGTGTAACTGTGACCGAAGTTGGACGTGATACGATGGGCGCCGAGATGGGTCTTGAAGGTGAGGCGGTGAAGCATGCGCCGACGCTGCTGTTTAAGGAGCTTGTGGCTTTTCTTATACATAAAACAGATACATGCGTACATATCCCGATGGATGGAGACGATTCAACTTTGCTAATGAATCACATTTTGTTCCAGTCATTAGTCCCTCCACTGACAGGGTTCGAAGTAAAGATGCTTGAGGCGAGGATGAGTGAGCAGATACATGCTTACAATCCACAGGACTCCAGTCCTGGGCATGCGTATGTGGATCTATGGATGCTTCTGCGCCCGAAACAGAAATTAGATCTTCTGATGTACAGACCCTTAAAACGACCTTTTGTGGTCCGATGTACACACCGAAAGAAACATCGCTCAGCGGTGCTTGCTGGTCCAACTGCTTGGGCTGTGACGACGCAAATGCCAGGGCAGCTACATCGTTGTAGTCGCTAAAGTGGGCCACGCCACGACACAATTGTCACTTCGTAGAGAAACTTCTGGTTTTCGTTGAGAGGGCGCTATGCTTGATTGCAATCCTTGTTCGCAAAAAGGTTCACAAATGACAACGATTTCTGGGCGCCAGCGTGCGCAGAACTAACGCTGACTTTCTGGGTACGTTGCCCTGGCAGTTCCGCCTGGAAATCGCAATACGCCATTGTGAATCCATGTAGTTTGACGGCTCTGGAGGCACCAACGAGAAGCACTGCACGTCACTCGCCAGGCCCCGGCTTTCAACAATAACTTCCCATCATGGCCTAGCCTTGTCGGTTCCTTTCTAGCCATTTCTAGTGTTCGATGATCACTACGACAGAATTGATGGCACCGGCTTGGGTACAAGCCCCTGTAAGGTGGCCGGATCGTTGGAGAGCACGTCGTCTAAGCAGCGTGCGCTTTTTAGGTAAAAATATATGCAGGACGAACTCCACCTGCTTTCCCCGTCTAGCAGATGGTGCTTCCAGTATGAGGACCGAGCGAAATCACCTCTCAGTGGCAGACGTGGACCATACAGTAAAACGTGGCCGGCATGCAATGAAGGCTACTCGCAGCGATCCAGTCTCCATGAACAAGCCTGCAACGCGACGCTTCGGTGAACGAAACCGCGATCCGCGATCTACTGCAAAATAGGACATTCTGGCACGTTCGTGCACGGGAATCGTGGCGGCAAACCTCTCCAGTCGCGTCCCGGGATGCACCAGGCGTCATCGGCAAGCACGACAGACAACGCAGTGTTGACTTGACAGCTGTATTTCCCACTGTATTTCCTTTCGTGACGCTGGAAGTAGACTTACCAAGGACATCCCGTCGTTGTGAGGCCTGGTCGCTCACAAGTATCAAACTATTTGAGAGACATCACTCGCCTGGTCGTTAGCATCAAGTTCGACCGAGATGACGGCATGCCGCGGGTCATCACCGCATCTAGTACAGCGCCGCAAGGAGAAGATTGCCCCCAACCTAGACATCCTGTCACCGACAGAACGGCGCGAAGGTGTAGGAAGAAATGGAAGACTTCGCGGGACGATACCGACTCGTGCCTGGGACAAATGGTGTGTGTTCACGGAATCTAGCGTCATGTTATGCTGAACAATGTCATCACCGCTAAACCATGCTCGCCTGTCAAGGAATATCAAATCTCCATCGCAATAAGTTCCAGCGATGTTCCGGTAACGCATCAAGCTGGAAGCTCTGCAGGCTCTTTTTCCAAACGCCATTCGGTGCCACGTGCGATTTGGTGTGAACAATGGCCGCGGGCTTCTGCATGTAGTTCGACGCGATGTTGAGTATCTGCAGAATCCAGCTCTGGTTTTTCAAACCCTCTCTTCTCCTCAACGCAGGTGCCCGATGTGCCGCACCCACGACGTCTGCGTCGCAGGAAAATATAAGCTCCCACGGATAAGAGTAAGAGGGTTAAGCAAACGCCGATACTAACTCCTATCTTAGCGGCAGTCGAAAAGGACGGACTCTTGGAAGAAGTAGTGACTGGTGTAGCAGACGTCGTGGTCGGCATTGGCGTAGACGTGGCTGCGGACTGAGCGCTTGTCGTTGTGAGACTAGATTGGTATCCTCGGATGGAGAAAACGGAACTACTAAATAATTCTGGTTGGCCGCGTCGATTGAGCGGTTGAAGTAAGAGATGACATAACTGGAGTCCGTAACGGCGAGATCTTCCGGGAGAGTCCAGTTGTAGTACATATCCGACCCAGGTGTGTATCTGATCAGCCCCTCTCCAAGAATGGGTGTGCAGGGAACTAGGTTCGGCATCCAAGCGGTGGTGTTGTAAACCAGTTCAAGCTCGTCTGAAGTCAGGAGAAGTGTCAGCAATTCGCAGCATGCAGTAGCCTATCGGATATGGGAGCACCAACCGACTATGACTTGGGAGAATCCATCGTCGGCGTTGTTAAGAACGAGTCCGATTATGGCAGTGTCGTAGCTCGTCGAGGCAGTCGACCACTCAATACTGACTGTGTCGCCTTTAGACCAAACATCCCCTCTTTTCGGGAGATGAAAAATTGTTGCACGTGCTCATGGCAACAGAAAGGGGCCAGTGGCATCTAGGACAGACCGTGGTGATGCAGTGCTGCTGGAGTGAACATTACCTCCAAGTCCAAGAGCTCTTGTCTTTATCATAGCTTGACGGAGAACTCGCAAGACGAGCTGAAGAGGGAACTCCGTAATTTTTAAATCGCGGTGATTTCATTTCCCTTGCATCCGAGTTCAGAACTCGAGTCGGACTAGCAGGGAATGCAATTACTTGCTTCTTCTGTTGCCAAATGAAATTACGGTATCCGTCCAGGACCCTACCATTACTACCTGCGAGTTCCGGGAGGCCTGCGGCTAGTTAGCTCTGCAAGGTTAGCCGCCAAATGAACGCCTGCTCATTCGGGTTGAACACTCTGTTACGGGGGCGCTAGGCCTACTCAGAAAGTCAGCGCCGTCACTCCAGGGCATGCATGACTCGCGGGCTGCAAGTCTCGAGGTCGACCGTCAAGGCACCATGTCCACAGCGATTCTTTCCATCTTGTCCTCGTTTGTCGATGTCGCAATCTCGACGCGCCCGGACGAGCTTGCAATGGTAACAGTACTGTAATCAATTTGCGTAGCAGGAGTCATTGGTCCGCATCATCTTGTCAACGTCTTGTCTCCTCCTTCTTTTTAATTATGACACAATGACCCCTTCCGGCGAAGCAACCAGCGTAATGGTGACAGGCGATGGGGGCTCGTTGGATGCGCGTCCCGAGACTGTTCATGCCACTTTGTCGATTGCGTGCAATTTGATGATGTGATTCCAGTCCATCAGCGCAGAAGCTTGTTTAAGTATACACAAGAAGTCAAGCGCGGATTGCTTACCAAGAACCCCGCGCTTCACAGGGAGGAGCAGAAAGCTGGGAGCCGGAGATCGAGGTCCAGAAACATCATAAGATGAGTTTGTTTGCCTACTGGGACTCTCTGGAGGGCGGACGGGAGGGGGCCATGGTAGATCGAGAGTTAAGGCACGTATTCGAGATCCTATCTCACACAAGAGGGCTCGGTAGCAGGATCTACTTAGAAGTCATCTGGGTTGATCTCCCAAATTTTGTGAGCCCGAAGCGACTATACGGGACGCTGAAACGACATTCTGGAAGGGTATTGGAAATCTCAGGGCGGCCGTAAGAAAGCATTGAGGGCATTGCGAGGCTCGTCAGGCCCGAAGGGTTCGCTGGCAACATGACCCGACTAACCGATGGCCGTTGTAAGATAAGGGACCACACCTCATAGAGAAAAATGCCTCGAGTCGGAATAGTTGAAGAGATCAAGACGCCGGAACCGGCTGAAGTG